TTCTTTCCCACCTCGGAGGATGGGTATATATTTCTATTTGCAGACATATACCTTGTTCCAGAGATCATAAGATACAGAAATGTGATTTCTTTGAAAATAATGTACTGTTACAGTTCTGTTTCAATCTTTTGATAAGTTTTCAATGTATTTTCCTTTTCAGAATCTGTGAAAAGGTGTTTGTTTCCACCCCTCCTTTAAACAACCGTTTCTTTCCTTCTCTTGATCTGACGTCAATCAGTGCTTTGCTTCTGTCTGCTATCCCAGCTGGTAACCAGCAGGTAGTTGGATGAAAGAGGCTTTCTCTCAACTCAGGCAGTGCACTAAGCACCACCCCAAACACGATACACAGATACACAAACACTGTGGAGTACAATAGTTTGACGTACAGGATGCTGTGCAGAAAGAGGGCAGTTCATTTCCACCCACAACCCTCTGCCGGCCGGCTCAGGGCAGAGAAATTGGCCCCTGTCCGTGCAAATCAGCATCCTGGAAAAGGAAGGTCTGGGTCAAGAGGAAGGAATATCCCATCCTGAGGAAGAAAGATTAGGTTTGTTCTGTATGATCGCTTGGTGATAGCTTCAAATTTACAATGCACCGCGGCTCTTAATTTAGCCTGCTATCAGTTTAAGATTTCTAAACCGTATTTAGAAGAAAGACACATTCATTATTGTTATTAAGCCATCTAATTTTAGAACTACTACTAGAATAAGACTCGGGAATATGATAATATTTAACTAGAAATGTGACTAATACAGCTCCCAGGTTTCCACATTTAGGTATTATAGACTGTAATTAAAAGCAGCTAGTGAAATAAGGAAACTTCTTAGGTGTGATAGAGTAAAGAATGAATTGCTTTCAGCAGTCATTGTTTAGATGAAGGAGCTACTCAAATGACAGATTGCCTTTTCGTATTGGGTCACATTTCATTTAGACTAGAGACTGACTTATTCAGCATATTATTTTTCTATAGGCTGGGGGGGTGGGCGTGAGGGTACCCTCTTAGTTATTGCAGGACATGCATGACCACTTGGAGCAACCAGAAACCACCTCAGAGCCTGGACATGTAGGGCCAGGGACACAAACGAGCAGTTGAGAAAAGGTCACCTTAGGTGACTTGAGCCTTAAATCGGGAATACAACCATACACTTTGTTACATGACAGATTTCTGGCCCCTTTTCTTATATGTATACCAACTTTTAAAATTATTTTGTTTTCTTGCCTAATTGCTTTGCTTGCGGCTTCCAAAACAATGTAAATGAAGGCTGATGTTATAGTTATTTTTGTCTTCTTCTTGACTTTGATGAGAACACTCCTGGCTTTGTTTTCATCACGCCAGCTGAATGTTTTAAGTTATTCTGTCTCTGTCTCAGAAAGTGGCTGCATGGGTACTCCCTAAAAGGATTCTGGGATGAGACATTTTGTGATCTGTATGATTTAAGACCTGTGTAGTTCTCCATCACAGCAGCCTACCTTCATCCATGCCCAGTTAGCCTTGACTCAGTCTCCAGGAGCAGTTGCTAACCTGAGTCAGGAGACCAGTAGAAGTCTAGCCCGGCCTACTGGCCCATCACTGAACTTATGCTCCGGCACCTGTGTGTGGGTCTCTACCTTCATAATCCTCTAGACTTGGCCTTCACCTTGTACTGAGTTCCCTAAGTGAGATCTCTGTACTTGAGTTCCAGTCTTCACCTATCACAGGTACTGGTTCATCTGGTGGTTCTCTGGACCACAAGGTCTGGCTTCAAACTTGTTTCTTCTACTTCGCTGTTTGAACTTAGGCAAGTTGTTTAGTATATTTGTCCTTCCTCAGTTGTCACATTAGGAGAAGAGCAGATCTCTCAAAAGGTTGTTGTGACTTAAATTAAATATTGCATAACACAGCTTTATTAGTATGTTCGACAGATAGTATGGTACCCATAAAGGCTTGTAGTTACTATTATTGCTAATGGAAATTTTAGTAGTGATATTATTTATTTTGAATTAAATGTGATGTACTTCTATGAAACCCTTTTCCATGGCTGGATGTCCATCATATGATTTTCATCTTGGTGGGTGGTCTCTGCTACCTGATCTGGGCTCACCTCGGGAGGTACCCATTATGACATGCTGACCTTTGCAATACAGAGTGACCTTAGGTTACAGCACTCTATGTGCTCACAGACATTTTCTTCAGAGATTCACTTCTGTGGTTAATTCTACTGCCCACCTTTCACTACCAGTCATAGGACTCCCATATCTAAACCTTTTGATCAGCATATTCACAGCCTTTAAAAATTTTACTATTTATCTTTGTGGCATCCAACATGCTTATAACTTATGTTAGTGCTTTTCCAGAAGTGATGCTGATTTGTGATTTGGGACAACATTCCAGCTTTGCAAAATCACTTCTGTTTATCCTGAGCCAGAGATCAAAAACATAAAATGATGATAATTAACCAAGTATTCAGGATTTCTGTTCTAGGACATAAAATAAATATGAAATAATGTTAGGGAACTTGCCCTTGAAGAACTTACAGCTTAATGAGTAATGGAAAGATTATGAATGTGGCTGAGCTGTAGAAGTGAAGATGTGGACGGATAGCCAAGTGGGTAAGGGAGCTGAATCACACAGTCTTAAAATAGGGCACAATGAGTTTTGAACATTTTTTTAGACTCCATTAAAAAATGTTTGTTCTCTCCTTCTTTGAACTAGCTGCATAGCAACATTTTCTTTCTCTGTTCCTGTTGGGATCTTGCCTGTAGATTACAGCTGGGTGATGTTAATTACAATGAATATAATAAATTCAATTGATTTACTCAGTTATTCTTGACTATTTTAAAAGATTTTCTTTTATGTATGTATCATCTGCCATTTTATCTGCTAATAATTTTAAGTCCTGGTAATTTGCTTAAATAACCCATTATAAATGCATTAAGAAAAGTAAAATTTTATCACTACCTTAAATTGAAGAGTAATATATCTTGGTATTAAAAGTTCACAGCAGGGCCTTCCTGGTGGTGCAAAGGGTTAAGTTGCAGCACTATGAAGCTATCTGCAGCCACTCCAGCATGCACGAGTTCGATCTCCAGCCAGGGAGGTGACCAGCAGAACCTCTTGTCTCGCCCACTGCTCCCCTCAGCATTGTACTTCAGTATATCCACCTGTTCTGCTCCCCACTCTGTCTCTGGTGAATCCTCTCACCCCCCACACCTCTGGCCTGTACCCGAGCTCTAGTATGCATAAATAAATCTTCTTTAAAAAAGTTCACAGCAAAAGATATACATAACTATTTAAATTTTAAAAATTTAACCCATAGACCATCTAAAATGGTCTCACAGAGCACTGCAGAGAAACTCGGACCCTGCCATCCTGATGTTGATTTGGGAAGGAATCCTAACCAGTTTATTGGGGTCTCTGTTGAAATACAGCTTGACAAATCCAACCCTCCAATTCAAGTCACCTGTCATCTCTCTGTTCCTTATTTTTAAAGTTTTCTTCACAACCTGTATTATCATCTAGAATCATAGTGTTTGTTTCCCGATGTACTTCCTGCTTTTCATGATGAAAATATGAGCTTTAGGAGGGCAAGGGATTTATCTAGTTCACTGCTGTCCCCAGGGCTTTGTCTAGTAGCTACTTAGTTCTCTAACTTCATGGTGATGTGTTAGGAAACTGCTATGAGGCAAAAATGTGGGTTTATGTAAAACTTATGTATGTATAAGTGCCATGTTATCTGCTAATAATTTTAAGTAAGTCCTGGTAATTTTCTTAATTAATTCATTGTAAATGTATTAATAAAAATAGGTACAAATTTAGGTAAAACTGCTTTCTAGCTCAGTACTTTGTGGCCTGATTTGTTCTTTCTGGTGTCTTTGGTGAGTTACTATAGTTTTGACCTCTGTTTATCCACCTGGCCTCATAGGAGCTTTTTACTTCCTTATTCCCCGTAGAGCTTTAGAACCTTGGATTTATTTATTTCTCCTTTTAATTTTTATTTATTTATTTTTTATTTTTGTAGAAAAATATTTTTGTAGAAGAAATGGGGTACAGGCCAGAGGTACAGGGAGTAAGAGGACTCAACAGAGACAGAGTGGGGAGCAGAACAGGCAGACTGACTGCAATACACTGCTGAGGGGAGCAGTGGGTGAGATGCCATATGTGGGTTAGCTCTGTGGCCAGGGATCAAACTCAGTCCATACAAGTGGTAGCGCTGAGAGAAGGAAGGCCCCTAGGGAGGCCTTCCTTCTCTTTTATAAAGCCAACCTACTGGCTCCAATTTTTTTTCTACTTAGACTTACCTAATGCGACCCTGACAGGATTCCTCTCTTCAAGTAGATTTCTGGCCTGCCCGTCATTATGCACCAAGTGACAAAACAAGACATGTAGTCCACAAAATAATTCAATTGTCCTGGAGGTGTGCACCAACATTTTAAAAAGCCAGCTATTCCATTGCTAGGTATCTACCCAAGGAATGAAAAAGCACTTTGAAGGGATATATACACACTTCTATTTTCATTGCAGGGCTATTTATAATAGCCAAGTTACAAAGGCCTGGGTACCTGGGTACCCAAAGACAGATGAGTAGGACCAGAAAGATGTAGTAGATACATAGCATGGAATACTACGCAGCTATAAAAAGATGAACACTTGCCATTTGCCACAACATGGATGGAACCAGAGGGGCTATGTTAATGAAATAAGTCAGGAGAAAGATATATACCAGATCATTTCCCTCATATATGAAATACAGAGGAACAAAAAAAAAACAAACAAAACTAAAACCAAGAACAAACCCCAAAAATCTGATTGTAAAACTGAGACGACCATTGGGGAATGGAGGAGTTAGAGAACAAAGCACATTAGACGAGAGTGGTGGACTCGGGGTGCCTTAGAGGTGGGCGTGTTGGGTAACTTACATTGAGGAAGTGTGACACTATCTCTGACTCATGTACAGTGTCATAAACCAATCTTTGCTCAACAAACAAGTCATAAAAAAATAAAAAATAAGCAGTAGGGCAATGGCAAGTATATTGTCCATATGTGCCAAAGTGGCCTGAGCTAAAAATGAAGATCTGTCCCTCAATTTCAGTTCTTGAAAACTTTTGTATTTTTCATTCTTATAACAACAGGTATGTAATCATATGCAAGTCCTCCCAACAGATCAGTTAATTTTTTAAAAAAGATTTATTTATTTATGCATACAAGAACTGGGGCACAGGCCATAGGTGTGGGGGTTGAGAGAATTCACCAGAGACAGAGTGGTAAAAGAGAGCAGTGGGCCAGTCAGGAGAGGTCTGCTGCACCATGTGGGTAGCTCACTGGCCAGGGATCGAACTCGTGCTGCAGTGGCTGCGGATAGCTTCAAAGTTTGCATCTTAACCCCTTGCGCCAGATCAGTTAATTTTAAATTGATTTGGGTGAATTTTTATCCTTATATTTAAAATTTTTTGCTCGATAATCATATGGCACTTAGAACCTTTAAGAAGATAATGTGATCTGTGTCTGAGAGAGAGAAATGCTATTTAAAATATTTTGTCTAGTTTTTATTCTGCAAAGAATTTACTTTTTCCTGCCATGTTAGATAATGGTAAGTTAGGAGGATGAAAGTGTATACCTACTTCCTGTGACAAATCCAATGCCTGTAAGGCTGGCTGATTAAAAAAGCCATATTTCTTGGTGATAAATGACTGAGTCTACGATAAGCCTCTTGCATTTCCAATGAAATCTTTCATGTCATGGAAGAGGAAACAAGATTGCAAATTTGAGACTGGGTGATAATGATTAGTATTGGATGCTATTTATAATCAGTGGCACGGGAAGTTAATTAGTTGTTTTCAATATGGTGACTAAGCTGATCCCAATAGAAAAAGTCCATCTCCTCTTGTAAATGAAAAGTATTTTTTAAAGGACTAAGAAATAAAATGGTTTTGGTAAGGTTAGGAAGAAAGCATGCTGGCTAGTTCAAAATGAGGTCCTTTTAATTACATATCATTTAGTCCTCTCGGTTATAGTTAGAGCAAAACTTGTATCTGATAGAATGTTTTAGTTAATTTGGTTCTTGTCATTAACCTATCTATCTTGGAAAGTTTAACTGCATTACTAAAAGAAAATCTTGTTCATGAAGTTTATTTTGGCTCAGGAATTTCTCTCTGGACTAGTTTTATAAACAAATAGTTCTAAGGCAATAGGATAAGGTCATTAACCCATATATTATGATTATACTGGATTAAGACACTGGCTTGAGGATTTCTTTTTCTTTCTTTCTTTTTTTAAAAGATTTATTTATTTATGCATACAAGAGCTTGGGCACAGGCCAGAGATGCAGAGGGGTGAGAGGATTCACCAGAGACAGAGTGGGGAGCAGAACAGGCAGACCCACTGAAATACACTGCTGAGGGGAGCAGTGGGTGAGACAGGAGAGGTCCGCTGTGCCATGTGGGTTTCTCTCTGTCTGGCTAGGGATCGAACTTGTGCTGCAGAGGCTGCGGACTGCTTCATAGTGAGGTGCTTAACCCTTTGCGCCACCAGGGAGGCCCAACTTGAGGATTTCTTAACTTGCCTCCAACTACTCTTCTTTCTGTAACTTCTGGCCACCTGCAACTGTCGCCTTACTCATACTTATCTTTTCATTTATGTCTTTTTTTTCTTTAGAAATAATTAAGTTGGCAAATGACAACTGACAATTTTGGTTGTAGACAAAAACCATAATTTCATTGAAATTAATTGATTTTTAATTGATGGAATATTGCATATAGCATTACATGAGTTTCAGGGATGCATCATCGTGAACCAATAGCTGCATAGATGAACTTCAGTCCAACAAAGAGAGTCCAGGTCAGATTCATTGTGTTTTTGTAAAATCAGTTATGTATATATTTGAAGGAACTTGGGCAGGTGTTTATAGAAAGTGGGATCTTCCTGATTTGATAGTGTTTATCAATGGCATTAAATAATGTCACATTCTCCAAATATACCTGCATTTACTCTGTGGGAAGAAGAATGGCAGGTGATAATAACTGACCCAAGCTACAAAGGTACTCTGTAGTGCACTGTGTGGATGATTTATTAGCGAAGGCCCACATGGCCTGGAAGAGTTGATTGATGTACTTAACTATAGGGCCTAACTTGTTCCCAGAGAGTCGTTCATAAACTGGCAGGATTGGGCTGATGATGGAGAACAGCCTTCCTGTCCAAATTGAAAACTCCAAGTGCTGCTAATAAAGAGGCCCACGGTGAGGGAAGGACCAGTCTCAACCCAAAAGGCCAGTTCTCAGCGCAGTCATCACAGAGATCACCTCTTTGATGGACTGGCCTGAAAATTACAGAATTTGCATATGCTACCTATAGTTATTTTCCTTGATGCTTAGACAGGTCTAAAGATACTCACAGGTCTAAAGATACCCTTACATATTAACGTTCCTGTGCTGTGGCAGAATCTTTGCTACAAGTTTTACAAAATTCTTTATCTGACTTGATTATTGCTGGAGCCCATAAGGGGTGCCTTCCTGCTCCCCACTTTAAAACAGGAAGACACTAAATCTGGGAAAGAGCTTCCAAACTTGTCCATAGTAGCGGATGGGGGCCTGGCTGGGTTGTGTTCAGAGGCCAAGGTCAGAGTCCCATTCTGGTGCCGATGCCTTTCTCACCTCTCTTTTCCTCCAGCTAATCGGGTCTTTGATATTTGGGGGTTCTGTTTCTTTTCTTACTTTTTGGTATTGTATAATACATTTGTACTCTTTAAATCAGGCTTAGGGTTAAAGAAAAATTCGGCAGTTCAGAGAGTTCCCATGTACCTTCCCTCCTCTGTACAGTTAATATTACCATCGTGCATTAATGTGGCACAGTTGTTCCAAGTGACAAACCAAGATCTGGGGCATCATTATTTATTTTTTTAAAGATTTATTTATTTATGCATGCAAGAGCTGAGGTACATGCCAGAGGTGCAGAAGGTTAGCAGATTCACCAGAGACAGAGTGGGGAGCAGAATAAGCAGACTGTCTGAAATAAACTGCTGGGGGGAGCAGCAGGCAAGCCAGGAGAGATCTGCTGTGCCATGTGGGTCACCCCCTCTGGGCAGGGATCAAACTGGTGCTGCAGTGCCTGCGGACAGCTTCATATGTTGTGTCTCAACCCCCTGTGCCACCAGGGAGGCCCTGGAGCATCATTATTAACTGCAGTCCATAGTTTGCGCAAGGGCTCACCATGTGTTATGAACTGTGTTTTTTGACAAGTGCAAGGTGTCATGTGGCCACCATTACAGTATCATAATAGTTTCATTGCCTGATAATCTCCTGTGCTCCACATATTTCTCCTCTGCTCCTTCTCCCAAGGCTCTGGCAACTACTGATCTTCTTACTGTCTTTTTAGCTTTGCCTTTTCCAGAATGTCAAGTAGTTGCAATTATGCAGCCTGTTCAGACCAGCTTTTTTGATTTAGCAGTATGCCTCACTCCATGTCTTTTCATGGCCTGACAGTTCATTTCTCTCTAGTATTGGATAATATTTATTTCTCCATTCGCCTGCTGAGAGACATCTCAGTTGCTTCCAAGTTTTGGCAATTTTGAATGAAGGTGCTATAAACATCCACGTGTAGGTTTTTATGTGGACACACATTTTCAACTCAGGTAGGTAAACCCCCAGGAGCACAATTGTTGGAACATATGGTAAGAGTCTGTTTGGTTGCAGAAGAAACTGTCTTCTAAAATATCTGTGTCATTTGCATTCTTGCCAGCAATGAATGAGCGTTCCTGTCTCTCCACATCTTTATCAGCACTTAGTGTTGTCAGTGTTTTGGGTGTCAGTCCTTCTTTAGTTTCGTAATGATGTCTCATCGATGAGTCTCAATTTCATATGCTGTTAAGCATCTTTTCATAAGCTTGTTATCTGCATGTCACCTTTGGTGATCTGTCTGTCCAAATCTTTTTGGAAATTTTCAACAGAGCTACTTGTTTTGTTTGGGTTGAGTTTTAAGAGTTCTTTGTATGTTTCAGATAACTGTTCTTTACATATGTGTCTTTTGTAAGTAATTTCACTCCAGATTATTTTTTATAGCCATTGTTTCAACTTCCCTATGCTTTAAATCCTGAGAAAGTGAAAGATGAATTCTCAAGGTCCTATCAAGTAGAAGTATCAGTGACTAATTTGTTTCAAGAAAAACGAATAAACAATAGTGCTAATCACATCACATTATTTCTACCAAAGAGTCATCCAAAGTAAGTTCCACAAAACATTAGTCCTGTGAGAATTAAAAGGTTTTTTGGTGGAAAATAAGTTTGTCATGATTCTGGTTAAAAACAACTGAGCAATTTTCTGAGCTGCAGGGTGGCCCAGAGCCTGGTGCTCATGTCTGCTGGACAGAGTAGGGAATAAGACTCAACCTTCTCCAAAGATTTTAAACCACAGAACACTTACCTGAGGCATGTCTGGAAGCAGCTGACAAGGCATATTAGTCGGAGTTCTTCAGAGAATCAAAATCAGTAGAATATATCTATATCGATGTATTTGTGTTTATATCAACATTGATATCCATTACTTCTATCTTTAATTCTTTATATATATCATATCTGTATCTCTGTGCAAAGCCATGTCTATTGATCTGTATCTGTGTCCCTATCTATAGAGCTATATCTATTGATTGATATTTATATATCTATATCTTTATATCATCTCCATGTCTATATCTCTATACATGTCTGTATATCTGTAACATGTATCTGTGTTTAAATCTACATATATCTGTATCCATATTAATATTGCTATCTCTATATATAGATTTATAGCCATATCTACAAATCTATACTGTATCCATATACATATATAAATTTGTATTTTATTTCATATCTTTATAGATCTATTTCTCGATCCATATCTATATTCATCCATATCTATATTCATGTATGTATCTATACTATATCCACATATTATAGGAACTGGCTCCCAGGGTTACTTTGGAGGCCAAGTAGTCTCATCTGCCATCTGTGAGCTGTAGAACCAGGAAAAGCAGTGGTGAAATAATTCAGTCCGAGAGCAAAGGCCTGAGAGCCTGGAACACCGATATCCAGGGACCTCATAATTCTTTCTTTCTTTGCTGACCTATATAGTAGCCTGTGAGGGTCCAAAAGGCAGGAGCAGAGTCTCACTCTGAGTTCGATTTTCCTGTGCTTAGCACAGCATCCGTAAGATAGCTTTCAAATCCACAGCACTGAATATTGACTCCATATTCTCTGTTTTCTTTTACCCACAAGACCTTGTGTTTTACCACTTGAAAAATAAAAGACCACAACATCAGGGTGGGGGAAATCACAAATCAAAGGGACTTGTGGACATTTTCCCTTTTTGTAGCTGAGAGGCTGGAGTGGATCATGCACAGACTGGCATGGGTGCCTTCATCAACTCAATGACCCACACAGATAATGGCATCATTGATTGGGCCACCAGGAACATTATTGATCATGGAGCTGACCAGAATAATTGGAGCAGCCAAATTGTGGCTCAGCCCAGTAAATGTGTGCCTATCTGATAGGTGTTCTTGTCATTTTTTTTTTATTTGTTCAAGAAAGGGTTTTAGCGATCATCAGACACAATGCATTTATTTTATAGATCAAGTAATTTTAGTTTAGAGAAGATTCAAAGTCTTGCCCCAGGATATGTGACTAATGATAAAAACACTGATCTCAAGACTCCGACCCCTTGTCCTTTTAACAACACCCTAGGTCAGGTGAGTAGTGTGGGTGTGAAAGAGGTCTCTGTTTCAATATGTGACAGATATTTTTTCCTGTAACTGCTGTGTGACCTAGTTTAGGTTGTCCGATCCTGTGTGTGTGAATAATAGAAGTCTATAGACATGTAAACACCCTTTGGAAGGAAGTGGTGGGAGTAATACCAGACTGTTTTCTACACGGTCCTTGGATGACTGTCTATGACTGTTCTTGTTTCAGAGATTCTTAGATTAGCTGTGTGAGTGTTAGTGTGTTGTGTTTACATTTTATGAATACTATTCATCTTTCTTGAGGTCTAAGACTCCTTTGGGTGAATTTGTGGTTTGCGAATCTACTTTCTTAAAAAAATAGTTGTTAGAATCAAGGGGAAAAAATGTAGAGCTTGAATCTCACTTTAAAGTCTTTAATTATGAACCAGGTTTTGTTGCAAAGAAATCAAAGAGACTAGATTGAATCATTAAACAACCTTTCATTTCCCCTTTTTAAAGATCAAAATTAATGTAAGAGAATCCCACCCCTTTTAAGACATTAACAGTAAACTTCAAGGGGGGTTTGGCAAAACAGACTGAACTAACAGTATTTGGGTGGTGCACACTTCAACCAGCAGGTTGCTGTCTCTTATCTACAACTCTGGAGATTCCACAGCTCTCAGATACAGACCTGAATGTGCAAAGGAGGGCAGAGAACTCTGTCATAGTGGCTGAGACTGGGTCCCACCAGCGGAAAACTTGTTCTTAAGATGCAGTGTAAATAATGCGCAAAGACATTGATGGGTCCACCACCACCTAATACCCACCTGGATACTTTTTCTACCAATTCAGGTCTACTGAAACCAGACTCTTGAATAGGAGGTAGGATATTATTCTTGTTATGTTCTTAGCTTTCCCAGAAACAATGGGCTTTTCTGAAAAGCTTAGTAACACTTTCAGAAGTTCCAGTAATTATTTCAGACTCTGTACATAATGCTAACAATAACACAGACTTTGGAAACTTCCCAGGAGCTGATTTCCAGAAAGAACAACCTCTGTGCACCTTATGATTCACATTTGACTATTCACCTTCCCCAATTCTACAGCCACTCTGTACCCTCTGCTTTTGTTCCTTTTCCTCCCACAGCCTGGACGACCCTTATTTCCTTTTCCAGTTCATCCTTCAAGGTTGAATTTAAATGACTGTACTTTCATCATAGAACCCCTGTAATTGTTAAAACCCACATTTACCTTGTATCCTAGTAACACAGTCCTAGTTATACTAGAATGTAATACATGTATACATATATAACACATGCATACATGTGTGTATGTAGAAAAAGACATGTACAAGAATAATCATAAGAGCTGAAAATTCTAACAAATGTCAATCAACAGATCCTGGATATGTCTGTTGTGGCATATTCATATAATGGACTACTACTCTGTAGTGAAAAGGAGGTAGTTTCTATTTCTCTTAACACATGGATACACTGTGCTTTATGAAAGATGCCAGAAACAAGAATGTATGCAGAATATTCTATTTATATTAAAATTTAAAATATAGGCAAAGCTAACCTTGGTGAAGGACATTTGAACAGTGATTGGTTTTGGTGAGAAGGGCAGTAAAATTGCCTGGAAAGAGCTAGGGGAAACTGTGAGATGATAAAAGTGCACTGGTTCTTGACAAGTGTGTGAACTTACCCAGGCAAGTGCTGTGTTCATCTCACCTGAGATCTATACATTGCACTGTTCATCAAAATCATTTGAAAGAAAACATGAAAGAAAACAGATTTCTCTGGTCCTTGGTTTTGCAATATTCCCTGTCATGTTGTCCATTATACTTTCCAGTCACCTCTCTGAAACTTACTATCAGAAAACCAATATGGTATCAGCCAATTACACTTTAATATTTATTTAAGTCAGTGGTTTACATTCCTCAATTTCCAAATGTAATTATTGGATTTAAAGTATTTGTTTTCAGGTCAAAGTATTTTCAGACATTAGGTAGGAAAGATATTTTGAGGAATTGCAAGGCTCTTTTGGGGCTTCTGACCTCACATTTGGGTGCTTTATTTAACTATGAAGGCTATTTCTGATTCCTGTGTAGTTATTTTTTAAAAATAGTTTTCTGTTTGTCTTCTCCCCTCTCCATTTATTCCCACTCACCCCAACATACAGGATTGGCAGGTGTATCTATAAACACACATCACATAACCTTCCTTTTAAATCCATTCTCAGAGGTTTCTGTTGAATTGCTTCCTCTTCTGTAACTTCCAAACTCTAATTATCCCCCTTAGCATGTCTTTCTCCCCCACTGAACTTGATCTCCCTCAAAGGTAGGAAATTTCTTTAATTCCTTTTATTTCCCCAGAGCCCAACGCAAGATCTGAAGAAATAGGCATTCAATAAGGCTTATTGACTAAATTAACAAATGACACTATTTTTTCTCCTTCTGTGACAGGTGAAGTAACAAGAGGGCCACATTCAGAGGCAAGAACTTTCAGAGAGGTTGTTTTACAATTACATTGTCTGTCCTCTTAAATCCATCTCCTTTTCTCCTTACTCCTGGCATCCCCATGTGACTAGCTTATGACCCTCTCTGTGTATTGTAAGTATTCCTATCAACTTCCCGGGAGAAAAGTCTTTAAATAGAAAAAAATAACATTGCCAAGAGAAAGCAGTTTGAACCCCAAAAAGGGTTCATTTTTCAAATGAGATTAGAGTTTTACACCTTGGCCTTTTACTTTATTGAAGTCAATGTTGGTATTTTTTTTTTTTCTTTTCTTTTCACCAGACTCCTCAAAACACAGTATGTTCAGATTGGATTGGGCTTAAAATGTAATATTTAAAACAGCAATATGTCTGACAGATCCCAGAAATGAAATATGTCCATTTCTTTTTGCAAGGAGCAGAAGGCAACATAAAGCAGCTGCAAGAATTAATTCACGGAGATAGTTGACATTTTCGAGCTGACTGCCTCTTAGAGAAAATGATGTCATCCCCCAGCAGCCTAATGACAGTCATCATCCTGAGAGGACACGTGCTAATAGGTTCATTGCTCACCTACTTTTCTTTTGTGTTTGGCCAGGGTGTCCTTTGGATGCTCATAATTTGGCATTGTGCTTCTAGAATAATCTCTAAGAGGCACTGGAGCATGAAACTCAATAAATGATTTTTTTTTTTTACTTCCTGGTTAGGAAATTGAATTTATGGGATTCTACTTTCTTATAGTAGTTAAAGTGCTATTTCAGTTTGTTCATAGATAAGAAATTTGGTTGACTTTTCTCTTGAAGGTGTGGTGGCCATAATTTAAATTGTGAAAAACCGTGACTTGATGATGCTGGGGCACCTCTGACTATGAAGAGGGAAAGGTGGGCTAAAAATCTAAAATTTCCTTCTCAACCACAAAGAATATGGAATCTGAAATTTCTAGAACACCCCATATAGGTTTCCTGGGGTTGGCTTTACTCCCAGATAAAACTATCGTTTTCAGAAATTTTAAGATAAATTTTTATGAGTCAATATGGAAAAGGGAACCAGCCATTTACCAACTTACAGGAATAATTATGCCAACTCATCCACACCATCATGACAAGGGTTTTTGATTCTGGTATCACCATCAATTTCCAACAAAAGACCTGTCCAGTTTTCCAAGCCTTTCTATCTTTGTCTTATTCCTCACAGACAGCACAGACTCTTCCGGGTAATTATACACTGGGGACGTTCCTGATTTGTTCACTGGAAATTCTTATTTGCCTCTCCTAGCAAGGTCCCCTGGAAATCGTTCGATTGAGAATTGTCTTGAAAAATGTGTTGGCTGGGGGTCAAATAAAGGAAATGAGCCATGGATTTGGAGGAAATCACTGAGTTGCAGGTATAGAGGGACTGTAATTCGGAGAGGAATTTATTGCTCTGGTAGCTTCATCTTGCCTTATCTTTGGGCTTAGTCTTGCTGGAGATGAACTTATGGAAAAAGAAGCTCATTCTACATCCAGATGAATGCTGGAGGGTTAGACATTTAGACCCAATCAAGAGGGAAAAACCTTTTTGTCCGACATCTTAGTGAGGCTGCTGTGATAGCTGCTTCTCTCTGAGCTTTGCAATGCCTCCCAAAGATGACAAGAAAAAAGTTGCCGGGGACCTCCCTGTTGGCGCAAGGGGTTAAGCACTGCACTATGAAGCAGTCCGCAGCCTCTGCAGCATGAGTTCCATCCCTGGCCAGCCAAGGAGAAACCCATATGGCAAGGCAGACCTCTCCTGACTGCCACTGCTCCCCTCAGCAGTGTATTTCAGTCAGTCTGCATGTTCTGTTCCCCACTCTGTCTCTGGTGAGTCCTCTCACCCCCGCATCTCTGGCCTGTACCTCAGCTCTTGTATGCATAAATAAACAAATCTTAAAAAAAAAAAAAAAAAAAGATGCTGGAAAGTCAGCCAAGAAAGACAAAGACCCAGTGAACAAATCTGGGGACAAGGCCAAAAAAGAAGTGGTCCAAAGGCAAAGTTAGGGACAAGCTCAATAACCTAGTCTTGTTTGACAAAGCCACATATGATACTCTTGGTAAGGAAGTTCCCAACTATAAGCTCATAACGCCAGCTGTTGTATCTGAGAGACTGAAGATTCGTGGTTCCTTGGCTATAGCAGCCCTTCAGAAGCTTCTTAGTAAAGGACTTATCAAACTAGTTTCAAAGCACAGAGCACAAATAATTTACATTAGAAACACTGAGGGTGGAGATGCACCAGCTGCTGGCAGAGATGCATAAACAGGTCCCACAAACTGTACATTTTGAAAAATAAAACTTTACTAAATCAAAAAAAAAAAAAGGGAAAAAACTATGTCCTTAGCAAGTTATGCACTCCAGAACATTCTAAGATTATCTCCTTATATTGGAAGGTAGTTCAAACACCTTCCTAATCAATGATCAGGATATTTTCTTAATACTATCTTGCTTGAATCTGTGAAAGTATAAATTCAATAACTTTGATAAATAGGATAATTCATAAACACTGGATAAGTTGAAGTGACGGTATGTGGAGTCAATTCAGTGAACACTTATATAGAACCCACTCTGTGCTTGTAGTTCAGGCTCTGGGGAAGGGACGAGAGAAGGGGGTACTGTTCTCATATTCTAGAGTGTGCAATACATATGTTTTATTGGCCTATGTCCACAAATAAGTTACGTTTAAAAGGTTCATATTTCCTATGTCAACCCTGAAAACAATCCTAAGCGTTTGGTGTCATTATTCACATTCCTTTGCCAGCTTTTTCTTTTGTTTGTGCCTCAGCTTATTGTTTGTAAAAGGATATGTTTGATTAATAACAATAGTAGCAATAGCTAACACTTATTATGTACTATTTTCCATGTGCTTTGGAAGCATTAGCTAATTAATCCTCACGGCAATCCTATGACTACTACATAGATGTCCACGGTTAAGTGCTGTGCCTAGGTGAGAGTTGGAACTCAAAGCGCCAATCAGTATTCTTTCCAAGACGCTATTTAGCTTTCCTTCTTTTATTTTATATATTTTTACATCATTTTTCATTTTTGTGCAATGTATGCATTTTCATCTTGGTTATAGTCTCCATACAATTCCCACCCACCTTGTTTTGATCCTACTCCCTCCCGCCACCCTCCTACCCCCGCAGTGTGTCTCTGGTTTATAGTTGCTTGTTGATTTTGATTTTTACTTTATTATAATTAGTCTTTTTCCTGGTCCCTTATTTAGGTTTTCTAAATTCCTGCTATGAGTGAGACCATCCGGTATTTTTCTTTTTCTTTCTGGCTTATTTCGCTGAGCATGATCCCTTCCAGCTCCATCCATGTTGCTGCAAATTACATGTGTTTATCTTTTTTGATTGCTGAGTAATATTCCATGGCATGTATGTACCACATCTTCTTGATCCAGTCATCTATTTTTGGGCATCTGGGTTGTTTCCATAGCTTAGCTATTGTAAATAGTGCTGTTGTAAACATAGGGGTGCAGGTGCCCTTTCCGTCTGAGTGGTCAATAGCATGTTACTTAGAAAAAGGATATGGGGAGCCTCTGGGGTCATTACTTCTGACGGCAAATTCTGGACACTCTGAGGGGTACTGGGGACTCATGTTTGACCATGCAGAGAACCTAACACAAAGAGTTTGACTTGATTCCCCAGGTGAACCTCTCTCCCTTTGGGGATGTCACTGTTATCCCAGTACTTACTCTTGATAACTTTCCAAGTAGGAAATCTTGTATCCCATTGACTAAGTAGGTGACACAATTTTTGCCTAAAGCAGTGCTGATCTTACTGGACAAAGGGACCTGAGGTTCATTGTGAGGAGGTCTAAGTGGAATTGTAACTCACTGAGAGAGGCACATTGGTTTTGGATGAAGATCAAGGATGTTGGTTATGGGCATGGACTTTCTTATGCTTTTATGCCTTTGGATGAACATTCTATGTGTTGTAGGCTCATTTCATTTTCTAGAAGATAATGGTTTCTTCTGAATGTCTTTACACTATGGATAGTCTCCAATGGAGACAGGGAAGGTGAAAGTGCTTATAATGACTACACAAAAATGAGGCATCCTGACCAGTCATTATTTTCTCTTAGGAAATATTGACAAAAAATATGGTCTGGATTTTTCAGATCTTATGGAAGTTTTTTTGTTGTTTTTGTTGTTTTGTTTTGTTTTGTTTTGTTTTTTTAGGGAAAAAGAGAACTCTGAAATACTCATTATAATCAGAATTTTCACAGCAAATCTCTTTGGGATCTAAATATATAATCATCTCTTTGGGACCTAAGTATATAATCCCTCACTTAAAAAAACTTATAAACTTTGAAGAACCAGAACTATTTGATACCTCACCTATTTTTTTTTAATCACACATCAAAATACTTAAGAGACTATAGGTAAATTGAGTGTACAAGTGGTAGAATTCCCTTTCCTGTAGGTCAGAGAAGAAGGAAATCCAGGTTTCTCTGAATCAGACCAATAAGGAGGGAAGAGGTAGACTTGAATCTCCATGCTGACAGGTAGGAATAGATATTTATGGGCCAACAATGCAGTGTTGAAAATATTAAAGTCTGGCCTATACCCAGATCCAAGGGATGCACTTCTGAAGGCCCCTGGAAGTGATCTTCCTGGTGATTGTCAACACGTGAATCCCAGCACAGAGCAGAACATTCACACTCTTCATTAACATTCCCTCTTGGTCTCAGTTTGCATCTCTCTGTCCATTTTCTGCCTTTGAATGGGAGTTTCCTGGGAAACCTTTTCTATGAATGGAATGTATGAGGTTTGTTCTATGAGAGGAAAGTAAAAAACCCAACAACCAATGGCAAAAATATACCTCTGCCCCTGAAATACTACAGGCAGGCTTAGATAGTACTTATCTTTTTTCAAGGACAGGTGGAGATTCTGAGCCTTGGTATTCAGTAATATGAAGAGTGTGGCTACCTCAATTCAACGGCAGAACTTTCTTTTTTATTGATTTTAAAAAAGTGAAAAGGTGGTTAAGATTACTTAGGTAAAAAGAACAGTGATGGAGCCTTCTCAGTCACAGATAAGCATCAGTTCTTTCTGATCTGCTCTACTGTCTGCTAAACCAGGACTCAATTTGTGCATTGTTCTCCTTGCACCAATCAGAAGGGAGTGTAAACCTTATCCACAGGCTCCTGTAATTAGCAGACACCCCTTTAGTCCAGGGTGGACCTGGGTGACACAGTCTGGGCATTCACCAATTAAATGGGGAACAGCCCTCATTTGCACAAGATGTTGAGATACTGAGATACTCTATCCCCATAAGCCCTGGGTTCTTATCTTTGCATTGTTGTCCAATTAAAAAGCAAAATAAGAAAAATACAATGAGAGAAAAAGAATATGCAAGCCACCGAGCTGTACTGCAGAAGAAGAAATGCTCCATAGTTGACAGATGACCAGTGAATTCAGATCAGACTTGGATTTGAAACTTCTTGTCACTTTTCTATTGCGGTTTCCTTGTTCACGTGAACATTCTATTCTGGAACTGGGAGAAGCATTTTTTAAAATCAACTTTACTGAGATTAATTTCATGCCATGAAAGTCACCAGTTTGAAATATATAATTTAACGGTTTTTCATGTATTTATGGATTTACCTATCTCCATAATTTAATTTTGGGATGTTCTGTAACTCCACAAGGAAACATAGTACCCA